AGGGAGGGGGACAGCCTAATGCAATAGAAAACCAAAGTACATTGAGCAGATATTCCATCTTTCCCTCCTTAATGACTTTTTCAAACCAGAAAGGCACAAGTAATAAAAAAAACAGACAGAAAAACTAGATATGAAAGACTACATAGATTCCTTCTCCACATCATTTCTTCTGTGGAGAAAGAAGGCAATAATGCATTAAGAATCTCATCCAAAAATTGTTGTGGCTGAACTTCATGTCTTCAACTTCATAGTTCAGAAAGAGCAGAAGCATTAGACAGCTTTCAAGTACAGCTTTCAAGTACATTAGAAAGAGCAAGATAAATTAGACAGCTTTCAAGTACAGTACTCTTGTTAAATAACTTTTAAGTAACTTTAATATCCATGTCTTGTGAACATTACAATAGTATTGCCTTGATTTCACAAGTTGTAAGAAAATTTGGGGAGGGGGCAATATGAAGACCCATAGATTGGAATTACCTCAAGCAACTAATGATTTTCAATTACTTCAGGAGCTAAATAATGGCAGCCATCTTTTTCAGAAAGACAATATGATTGAATATAACATCAAAAAATTTCTTCCATGAGGGTAGAATTGAACATTTCTTCCATGAGGGTAGAATTGAAACCATGGAGCATACTTCTATAAGGGTGAAGTAATAGAATAATCTGCTCCCTTTTCAATTGCTAAAAACTTTCTTTAAACTAAATTCATGTAAGTACATAGTGACAACAGGTTCTCATGAAATGGTGTTTCTCTACTGTATTCAAAATATTAAGTAGATTATTTATTGTTATTCATTTAATACACGGAAGAAGTGCAGATACACATTCTAGCTAACTAAAGTTCACATAGTTTCTATTTCTGTTAAGAAATATTATAGATGCATGTTTAAAAACTATTTGGAAGAACTGCTTCATTTTTGTCATAAGTCACAATCCCTCTGCTCCATATTAAAGCACACCTAACTTTTGTCAGACTTGCAGAAGAATCTGCAAAAAAAGATGCTGCTGTTTTAAAAATTGGATTCATTACAACATTGTTGTGCTGCAACGCAAACAGCTCATGTGGATGCCTGAAAAAAGACATCGGTGCTTTAATAAGTGGCAGAAAAGTGCTGTACTCATGTGAGCTCTAAAACTTTCTTTCTAAATCATTTTTAGAATGTGCACAATCCTTTTAACATTTTTATTTTTTCTCAAGTTCCAGATTTTCAACATGTGCTTCATGAGCTTTCTCAACCCTATGAACTCCATCATTATTGCTGAGTTTATTGCTGAGGTAGGATAAGATATTGCAGGGTCTACTGAATTCACAACTATTCTATTAGTCCAAGAACCTCAACATTTGTGAGGGAAAGGATAATTATATATAAAGTAAATGTCGCACATAAACAGGATTGCAATTTTCACTTATCCCACATTCTCTTATCTTGAGATCGCTCTCTACATGTTGATACAGAAAATCAATAAAGAGCAACATGTACTGACATGAAACTATATCAAGAATACACATGGCACCCCTTAGTGGCAACTAAGAAAAGCTTTTGGATGAAACAGAAAATCTTAAAAGCAGCAGTGAAATTATTGTAGTGGAGGGGTGGACTACAACATAAGGAATTGTACTTAAAAAAAAAAAGAATATCTCTGTAACCACAGTTCACTACATGAGAAGCATCACTTTAAGAAGACAGTGCATGGTAATAGATTCAACTGAAGGAAGCTTTTCGTGAAAAAGGGAAAAGGACTGAGCAATGGGATGTAAGTAGGAACCTAAAGTTATTAGTCACAGAAAGGCAGGACTGAATGTGGTATTGGCAACAATTTGTTCATCCCCAAATCAAGAAACGTTAGTTGGGCTAGTAAGAGGAGCCAAGAGGATGAGAAATGTATGTTTTTATTCTTTTATGGATTTACTTTTTCTTCCATATATGTTCTTTGTTTCTGCCTTAAAGACTTTAAAGCTTTCTGTTTCCATTCATACTGAAAGTCTGCCCAGGATGCTTAGAGAAGGCCAAAAAAGGGGGGAAAATGGCAACCCACCATCAAGCTGGTAATACAGATAGTCCTCAACTTTCGACCACAATAGAGCCCAACATTTTAGCTGCTAAATGAGATACATAAGTGGATTTTGCCCCATTTTATGGCCTTTCGTGCCACAGTAGTTAAGATAGCATGATGGTTGTTAAGGGAATCTGGATTCCTCATGGATCTTGTCTGTCAGACGGTTGCAAAAGGTGATCACGTGACCCCAGACACTCATAAATAGGAGAATTGCCAAGGGTCTGACTTTTGATCACGTGACCATGGGGATGCTGCAATGGTCATAAGTCACTTTTTCCAGCGCTGTTGTAACTTTGGTCACTAAATGAACTTTTGTAAATTGAGGACTACTTGTATTTTAGCATAGGAATCTAGTATTTTCAAACATTCTGCCTCACTACCATTAGGACTAAGAATTTTCCAATCAATTAGCTTACTTAACAAATGTTTCCCTTAGCTACAGAAATTTGGGGCTCAATTGTGCTTTTAAGTCGAGGGCTACTTGTAGTAGGTCAGACCAATTGATCCACCCAGTCTAAGTAGTCATTGTGACTACAAACATTGTTGTTGTTTTTTTAGGAAGAATTCTTTCTATCCCTTCCTTGAGATGCTGAGGACTGAAATTGGATTTGCTATCTGAAACTTAAAGTGAATCCACTGAGACTGCAAACATTTTTTCCCAAGCATTTTACTTTGTTTTCATTATTTTAGTTGCTCCTATGGCTAACATCATTCTGATAAATGATGAGAATTTCATATCAATTCCTATGGACACAATTTATTGAATGGAAACTACTAATACCTGGATATCCCAGATTTAGTTCAGTCAGCTTTAGATCTAGAAGATATCTAAATCTGACTCTGAAGAATATGTACAATTGGCTCAATATTGGGCGCTCTTTGACTGCTATATAGGTATAAATATTTTTCAAATGAATCCAACTTTTAAAAAACCATTGAGGGATTCCAGATCACAGCATTCATTTTAAGAATTTCCTTCCTCCCTTCTTTCTTCTCACCAGTATCAATGAATTTTTTTTCTCCAGTGTCTTATCCTTTGAAGAAAGTTCAGTTGTGGGGAAAACCCATGATACTGAAATTACTTTTGCTATTATATTTTAATTGTCATAATTAAAAAATGCTGATCCATCTGACTATTTCAACTACTAAATTATTCTTTGGATAAGACCTTCTCCATGCATGAAACCTGGAACAAATTATCCCTACTTTTAAAAGGTTCTGAGCGGACTCATGTTCAGTAACAATATTTAGAAACTTTTGTAAATGTTTATACTTTCAGTACAGGGGCTTTTTAATCTCAAATATTACATTTGATGAGTAGGGGATTCTGAGTTTGCATGTGTATTTGGTTCTGGTCATGTTCAAACATTAAAAACAGAGCTAAGCAATTTTACACCAGGAAAAGTCCCTGATTTAGATATCAACACATAAGAAGTTATGCACAGCTATTTGGATAGGTGGAATCTGGTGCTCATTTCTCTTCTTATGTATTAGATTGCTCTGCCAAGATTGGCTATTATAATTTCATTATATAGGAAAAGAGGCGATCCTTTAATTATTTTTATGGTAATTTTTCTAAAGTGTAATTTATCAGGAAAAAAAGATAGAGATTATGTAGTTAAAGAAAAAAGCTAAATATGTTATAATTATAAATGGATTAAATATGATAATTGTGATACATAAATATGATCCCACCAAATGGTTCATTTGATTGTTGTTGCTGGAGCATGTGGGGGTTGTTATTCCTTTTTTAATTGTTTTTATATTGGGTTTTTATCTTTGTAAGCCACCTGGCATCATTAAGAGTGAGTTGGGCAACCATATAAATTTTCCTAAATAAATAAATAAATAGTCCAGAGGTGGTATTCAGCAGGTTCTGACCAGTTCTGGAGAACCGGTAGAGGAAATTTTGAGTAGTTCAGAGAACCGGCAAATACCACCTCTGACTGGAGATTTTACAGTATCCTTCCCCTGCCATGCCCACCAAGCCACGCCCACAGAACCGGTAGTACAAAAATTTGAATCCCACCACTGTACCTACCTACTACCTCTCTACCTACCTACCTCAGGCTAGCACTTGGAGAGTACCCAACAAGGACCTGGAAGTAATATTCAGATGCCAGAATATCTCTATACCTACAAAGATCAAACTCATGCAGGAAATCTTGTTTTCCCTGAACACTTCACAAAATCAAAGGTTGGATTTCGAAGAAGGAGAATAGGATGTAGGGTTTCCTGCCTAAGCAGGGGGATTGGACTAGAAGACCTCCAAGGTCCCTTCCAACTCTGTTATTCTATGAGTACTTCATAAGCAATTGCTTCATTTCAGGAAACAGTTTGGGGACTTCTTGGAAGCCTTTCCCAGTTTTGAGTTGGAGTTGGGATTTGTAGGTGTGTCACATTTTAGGGAATCAATCAGAATAGAGCTGGAAGGAACTATGGAGATCTTCTAGCCCAGCCCCCTGCTCAAGCAGGAGAATCTATACTATGACAATCATGGAAAGCTTCTCTAGGGAGTCCTGTATTTATTTTGTCTACTATTGTTATAGGAACTGCAACAACACACAACCGCAGGCAAGTATTGAAGAAACAAGCAAAATGGGTATTTGGGGTTAGATTTGTTATTTACAAATGTGAGTCATTTACAAAATACTTCAATACAGATAACAGTCTAGAGTAATCTTTAATTTTAATTTCCAATTCATGCTTACACACTTCAATCTATTCACACTTCATATGTTAAAGGGGAACTAAAGATGCCTTTTCAATATGGCGTGTGAACTATTTATTTTATTTCTTTATTCTAAAAGCTTGATTTTATGAGCGATATACCGATCCACAGTTTCAATCTGTTCAGTAATAAACAACACTCTCATTGATTGATGAGAATGAGCATTGTGCAAGATAGTTACATGCCAGGTGTGTTGGTGTTCTATTACCTTGAATGCTCCTTTTAAAAAAGGCTTTGCAGCCCTCGCAGGACCAAACCCCATAATGGTAGCCAGAGGCATAATCATTGCAAACAGCACAATAGCGGGTCTCCTTGGCAGACTCCATAGACAGGTTTCCCCTTTCATTGGTGCCGGTCATTCTCTCTCTGCCATTGTGACGTCTGGTCTCCGAGCCAGGCCTGCAAAATGAACAACAGTGAGTTCAACAATGAAGAATAGCTCAGGGTGGAAATACTGGGATCTTAGTAACCTACTTCGGTAATGAAATGTTTGTCAGAAGAAAACCAAATTCAGCCAACAGCAAGATCCCAACATTAGTGAGCCGGTTGGAACTACAAGTCAACACATGACAATATCATTGTGGTTGGGAGTAAGAATCCACCAAACTAATTAATTATGATCGTTCATTACAAGAAACTGTCAAATCTGGGAGGGGTGGATTGACACCAACCAAAACATTAGGCTGTCCCCAGAAGCTGAGTTCATCTCAAGAGAGACTTTACTTACATCTGAAAGGAACTGTGTGCTGAGAACATAATGCAGACAAGACTATTGAAACCATTTTCCCTTTCATGCATAAGCAGCTAAACTTTGCACTTCTATCATCACCGTTATTCTTACTTCCTAATGGTGCATTTGGCTATGTGCTCCTCCAACTTTTTCACACTGATTAATATAATCCAAGGGTCTTGAAACTTGGCAAGTTTAAGACTTGTGGACTTCAACTCCCAGAATTCCTGAGCTAACATGACTGGAGGAGGAATTCTGGGACTTGAAGTCCAGAAGTCTTAAAGCTGTCAAGTTTGAAGACCCCTGATATAACCATTGGAACAATAGATGGAAGAGAGTCCCATTTCCCGAATGACTAAACAAGAAGCATAGGAAGTCAGTTCTTGAATGTCCTGACCAAAATCAATACATTTAGATGGCACCATCATGATTAAGCTTTAGATACCATGACAAGAAGCAGGGGGGATGTTGAAGTGGCTATACCATCCAAAGGAGTCCTAGACTTATGACCATTCATTTAGCAACTGTTCTATGTTACGATGGTGCTGAAAAAAGTGACTTATGGCCGGTCTTACCAGACCACTTATAATTGTCACTGTGTCACATGATCATGGTTTGGAGGCTTGCAGCCAGCACACATTTACAGTGGTTGCTGCATTCCAGGGAAATGTGATTGCTATTTGCAATCTTCCCAATCGGCTTCTGACAAACAAAATAATTGAGGGAAGCCAATTCACTTAATGCCCATGTGAGTTGTTTATCATGGCAAAAATGGTCATAAAACCATGGTCACATGATGACTCATTTATCAATTGCATTGCTTAATGACTGAACTTCTGATCTCAATTGTGGTCAGGTGTTGAGGACTACCTGAATAAGAATAACTCTCTTAGATTCAGCAAAATCTGCCTAGTCTATTATCTGACCTTACAAGGGATTACAATAGAAGTTTCCATTTCTCGATCAGACATTTCTTGATCCCAAATGCTACAATTTACAGTGTCCAAGCAATATACCAAGGGTATATTGCTTGGACACAGTTCAAATGGAGATGAGACTAATTTTGTTTTTAAAAAATAGCAGATATTCTGTACTAAAAACTTTCTCCTTCATTCCTACCACCTTTACTCATGGTCAAAATATGAAAGTAATGTGCTAATTTCTTATGGTTATATATCATCCTTGGATATCTAATAACTCCACTTGGCCAAAATGAGAAATGTTAGTAATTTCCATTAGAATAAAAAGTAATTTAGTAATCCCAACTAATTTAAAGAGAGATTCATTGTTAAAGAAATTTAAGTACATAATTCTACACATTCCTGGATATAAGTTTCATTGAAATAATTTTGGAGAAACATGTTTACAGTTGAATTTCTACTCAACTCAAATGTACAGTGTAAAATGATACAAACTTCCCTCCCTTTTATTCTTTTTTTTATTATTAAATTTTTATTTGGGTTTTCACACACAAGTAAAACATCTTTTTTGAAAATAGCATGGTCCCAGGTTGCACTTTTTTATACAGACACAAACTCAACTTCATGCTCATTTTTGTGTTCTATTCCATATCTTATACTATTCTACATTTTCTATATAGTTTTTCCCCTCTTTTAATTTTCTCAATTTTATTTTGATTATCTCATCTCAATTCAAATCATTATATTTATACTTTTGTCTGTTCCGCTGCAATTTCATATTATCTTTGCTCATTAAACAAATTTTCTCCTGTTGTTACTAATTGGAGTATGACACCTTTATATCTTTTAATTTTATCCATTCAGCTCTTGTTTAAACTTCTATATATACCCTAAGGTTATGACATTCAATATAATACATAATACATCCAATCGAATTCTGCTTGGTACATTCTTATAATACACACTATATTCTTTAAGAAAAAGGATTATAAATATATGTAATTAAAACCCTCATTCCATTCCAGTTCAATTCTATCATTAATATTTATTAAAGTCTTAACATCTTTAACATTTAACACTGCATATCTTTTCACACAAAAAAGGAAGTTGGAGATATAATGGCATTATATGGAACCATATAACATAAGGGAAAGGAACCTAGGAAAGCATCTCATCCATCTCCTTAACCACTACAAGAGCCAATTATTGCAGCATCCCCAAAAGATGGCTGTTCATGGAATGATTGTCTTTGAAGGAGGTATTGCAAAATGGCGATATTACCCTTGACAACAGTAGCTTTTCTGACTATTCGTACCATTTTATCAAATGATGTCTTAACATTAATGGAGGAGCCTATCATACAGCTGAGATCTAAGCAGTAGATCCTCCTCAGGTCTTTTTAAACCCTGGAACTTCATGAATCAAAGACAGCACATGTTGAACAATTATACCAACTTGATTGGTATATATAATAACAAACATTTATATATAAAAACAAAATACATTATTCTAATTTAGTAAAAATATGGCATGAAAATAACTACAAGATTGTCCCAAATGACTTCAAAACTTAACTTTTTGTTGTTTTTGTTCAATTTTCTTCAGAAAAAGGCAAACTTCTTTCTCTCATACTTGGACAAAACAGAGGTGCATGAATAACTGAAGTGTATGGAGACAGCTCGTCCTCAGCCAAAATACCCAGACGTTTCCCTATTAACTCCTACTCTCAACTCTTTTGAAGAAATATTAGCCTTATTTGCCTAGTTATCTCATTTCTATTCTCCAATGTTCCTGGAAAGTTTCCCACTTTTCTGATACTCATGTTCCTTTGAAGACTGGTTATATAGTGCTGAAAATGGGCTTTTCCAAGTACAAATTTAAAAAAAAAAACTTGGGAAGAAGAAAGATGAAAGACAAAAAAAAATCATGAAACATCTGGAAGAAAAGCTGTACAAAATACTGAATGCTCAGCTATTATGCTGTGATACCCCACTTCGGCTGAGAAATTAGAAGAGTAACCCAGGAGCAATTCAAGCATACAACAGGGGTACATGAAACAGAAAGGAATCAGGTTAGCATGTGAAATGAGTTAAATCACACTGTACCTTGTTTTAATCACTGCCCTTGGTGCTCTGTGAGCTTGGTTGTAACTTGGGTAATGAAACGTCTGCAAGACAACAACCAAGCTCTGAAAGCAGCAAGAAGCCCTCATTTCAACCCTGAACTACAAATATTCTTCTTTATTTAATCACTGCATTAGTATTTTACTGTAAAGAACAGTGAAAACACTTGTAGTTCACGAAGAGATTATTTTGTTTTAAAATGTAAGAATAATATGGATTGTCGTTGCTCAAAATATTATCTCTTCTTTCATGAATAGATAATTATTCAAGGCATGAATGGTTTTTAATAATAAAAGATATATTACGTTAAAAATCTTTTTGAGTTTGTGACTGATACCTGTATTTTGGAGTAAGTATCTTTGAAAGTCTTTGTTAGTAAGGAATTAATATCTTTTCTCCCATATGATTTGAATTGGCTTCAAAGTTCATCTCAAATCAGTCAATACAAATATATTGACCCATTGAAAGGTAACATAATTATAAGATAAGGATATAGGTTAATTAGCAAGAGTTAAGCCTCCATTTAATTCTCATTATAATTTGCAGAGTAACATGATATTACTTCTGGTAGACTGCAACCTTATGACACAATGAAATTTCTTAGAATTATATTGTAATCATTCATTTCATACTGTCAAGTGCTGTTCTATAAAATCTAGAAAGATTTTGATGATTTAATAGGGGTCATTGTTACAGCTTGTGAGAGAAGAAACTTCTTGTTCAACAGGGACCAATCCTGTTGAAAGAAACTAATCAGGGAGCCACAAAAATTATAGTTTCCAAAAGAAACCTGTATTTCTTTAAGTTTCAAACTACTCTATTAACACTGAATTATGTCATGTGTATGAGAAAGGGGAAATCCTTTCATAAAATACATCTATAATTTGATCAGACACAGTTTGTATATTGCAGATTGAAGATTTCTTTCTGATTAGTAGATATATTTGAGGGGACAAAACTCTCAGAATTCTGGGAAATTGTGTTTTTTTTTTCCCCCAAAAGCAGGAGAAAAAGTTATTGCTACTTTGGGTAACCACTAGGCTATATAGGTTGGGTGCCTGAACCTTTCCCTGAAAAATTACTCCGGAAAATATCACACGCAGGAGATTGAATGACAACCCAGAGTGGGGCCATGGGACATAACAGTGAGCTATAAAGCTGTTCAGTTGGGCGCCTAAGCCTGTTAGATAATTTCTCTGAATAGTATTTTCATCTTTCATGCATTAGAAAATGTGTTGCTCTGCCTAGCAGCCTGGTAGAAATGGGATGCAAAAGATTGTGGGGAGATGTTTTGTCAAGAGTTTCTCTTGAAATCCAGAGCTGGATGTGTTTTAAGATGCACAGCCCTCTGATACAAAGTGAATAAAAAGACTCGCTTGAAGAGTATGCATTCATCATATATTATGTCCAGTGGTGGGAGTCATTTTTTTTTACTACCGGTTCTGTGGCGTGGCTTGGTGGGCATGGCTTGGTGGGTGTGGTAGGGGAAGGATACTGCAGAATCCCATTCCCTCCCCACTTCACTAACCTGCTTTCCAGCTCCGTTCTCCAACAACAAAAGAAGACCCAGCCAATCAGCTAAGACTCGGGAGGCAGAGAATAGATGGGGGCAGGGCCAGTCAGAAG